ACTAAGGTTTAGGGTTTGTTGGGGGTTAGGGTTTTTTAGGGTTTAGGGTTTCTTAGGGTTTAGGGTTTGTTGGGGGTTAGGGTTTCTTAGGGTTTCGGGTTTAGGGTTTTCCTTTCCTGCAGGTTTAGGGTTCCGGATTTTTAGGGTTCAATGTTTTTTTTTCCAATGGTTCAGCGGTTTTTGGTTCCAGTCTTTTTTGGCTTTGTGGGTTCTTTAGGCATAGCGCATTACAGGGATCCGTCTGAGGATCTCATCGCATCGACTTTCTTTTTCGTCCATTCTTTGTGTCTTGACATGCGGATCCGTTTGACTTGGTTCCTACCCAGTCAAACGTCAGTTGCTCAAGCCTGTATCGAGTCCAGCATCAGCATCAGTTTCTCTAAAACTGAATCCAGTCCGACATTTGACCAGATTCTCGCTTTAGTACACAAAAACGTTTGACAGTTAGCTGCTTCCCTGTAATCCTGTCAAACGTCGTTTGCTGATTTAGACCTGTATGCAGTCAACGGTCTGACTGGATCCGGTCAAACATCTGGTCTAAGTCTAGATCCAGTCAAACATTTGCTCTAAGACTGTATCCAGTCAAACGTTTGACTGCATACAGGTCTAAATCAGCAAACATTTGACTGCTGGTTGCTTTATTACCCTGTATCTGGTCAATGTTAGTTGACACCGTTCGTTGACCGGATTGAGTCAAACGATTAGTACCAGAGCCTACACAGGGTCGAACATTAGTCGCATGGGTTTCCAGCTTCAGAAATGAGTGGCCGGCTTGCCTGCAATTTTATCTACCCTGTATCTAGTCAATCTGGAGGTGGAATATCATATACATCCAGGAAATTGCAGTTCTGTTTACTAACACAAGCTGTTACATGTGAGTCGTACTGTGTATCATCAAGCCCTATGCAGCGGGTTCATGGGGACTTGTTGAGAATGACCTCGCAAGCGTGTTGTCCGTTGAAAATCTGACAAAAGAGAAACAGAGGGAAAGAGAGGGAGAGGGAGAGGGAGACAGAGAGAGGGACAGAGAGAGAGAGAGAGAGAGAGAGAGAGAGAGAGAGAGAGAGATGCACAGAGAGAAAGTTGTGCCTCTAGAAATTTACATGCTCTTGCAGACAAAAGAAACAAAGGGATCTGACAAACCAAGGACACAGAGAGAGAGAGAGGGGGGGAAGAGAGAGAGAGAGAG